ATATATATATATATATATATATATATATATATATATATATATAGTTTATTTTCTAGCTTATACCTGATTTTTCTTTTCTTTTAAAATCTCTGCCCTCAGGCCAAAACAATAAAAGAAGTACATTTAGTGGCAGTTGCAGAAGGCAAATGGTCAAGAGATCTGAGATGAGTGACCAGGCTCACAGCCAGGGTGAAGTGCCCTCAGGGAGAGGCTAGAAATCTTTGGAACTGGGATCTTGCCTAGCGTGTGCTGCCCCCTGCTGGTTCAGATACATTTTCCTGGTCCTAAGAAATGCCCAAAGGATGATTAAAGTCAAGCAGATAAAGTTGAATGGTTCCTTCTCTATTCATTTACTCAAAATTGCATCTCCCATTAGGGACAGAAAGTAGTTGGAGTGATAATAGAGAAGGTGAAGCTGATTTTCAACCCAAACCATCTCCAGAATGATTTCTTTTTCTTTTTAAAAAATAATTTCAGTTGTAGATGGACACAATGCCTTTATTTTATTTATTTTTATGTGGTATTGAGGATGGAACCCAGTGCTTCACATGTGCTAGGCAAGCACTCTTCCACTGAGCCACAACCCCAGACCCCAGAACAGTTTCTTGCTCTCCAGTAAGAGATGCCCTGAGTATAGGAGTCTGGAGAGAATGGTTCTTCTGTCAGAGTCTCTTTCCTCACAAGGCAGTGTGGGGTGGGATTGGGGGGTGGGCTCTCATGTAGGCATGCATGAATTAATGGTGTTCACTGGTTAATTCCATGTGCTTTTCACATGCCTTGCAGTTCACTAAATTCTACAGCCTTTGTTAAAAGCCTGGAGAACATGGAGAAGGCCAATCCAGAGGTAAGAGAATTCTGCCTTTTGTTCTCTGAAAGGGACTTGGGTGCATGTGTGTCCAGCATGAAATACTGGGGTTGATACAGGGTGTCCTTATCATTGTCATTCCCCTGGGAACCATGTATTATCCTTTGTGTATCTCAGCTCACAGGCCAGTGCTTGCACACAGCAGCAACTCAGGAAGGCCCTATCACTGCAAAAGGGGTGGTTGAAGAGTGATGGGACTGGGCAGGCTGGGCCAGACCAGTCCTGGATGGCAGGTGCTGGTAGCAGGCTGAGGAAGGGGCATTGGACTTGGACTCAAAAACCAGCACCACCTCCCAGAACCACCTCAGCAAGTTGAGGATGAGGATGAAGATAATCTGCCCTGCCTCCTCCTCCGTGTCGTTGTAAGGCTCAAATAAAATGATAGGCAGCTGAACCTGGTGGTGCATGTCTGTAATCCCAGTGACTCGGGAGGCTGAGGCAGGAGGATAGTGAGTTTGAGCCCAGCCTCAGCAATTTACTGAGACTCTGCCTCAATCAATTAATAAAACGGGCTGGGGGGGGGTATAATTCAGTGGTAAAGAGCCCCTCAGTTCAATCCCTAATACCAAAAAAAAAGTGCTTCATAATACATGAAGCATTAAGTAAATATGAGGGGTAATTATGAAACATTTAGTAGTTGAGGAGTTAATGGTTAAGATGAAGTATTCAGGAACCTTTAGAAAAAGAGGACCAACAAGAACGTCCCCCTCCATACTGGTCTGTAACAGAGTTATAAACAGGGACTGAGAGCCAGGTGCAGTGGTGCAAGCCTGTAATCTCAGTGGCAGTGGCTTGGGAGGCTATGGCAGGAGAATCACAAGTTCAAAGCCAGCCTTAGCAATGCCAAGGCGCTAAGCAACTCAGGSAGACCCTGTCTCTAAATAAAATACAAAATAGGGCTGGGGATGTGGTTCAGTGTTCGAGTGCCTCTGAGTTCAATCCCTGGAACCAAAACAAACAAAACAAAAATGAGTGACTGAGAAATGGATTGATAGCTCTGAATTTCTATTCTCTCTTCTTTTTTCTCCTCCTCCCTCCCTCTCTCCTTTCCTTTTCTCTAACTTTTAGAAACTCTTTGAATAGTTACCTTTCTGTCTTTTGTGCTAGTTTTGTCCCAAGAGGACTTTTTCCCAACATGGTGCAGCAGCCTCTAGAAGCCCAGAATTTGTCATTGGATGATATTGTTTTTCCAAACAGTGACAGGACTGTGAATCACTAAGTGCCACCGCCTCACAGATGTGAGATTCAGTGAGGGCTGTTCCTGACATATAAACCCTCCAAGATGATGACGATTAGCTGCTAATCAATGCCATCCTGCTATGACTCTAATTAGAAAGAAATGTCCACAGAATACAAGTAATTTAGCAAGATAAGGGGTCCTTGCTGCTAACTCCATGCCCAGTGAAGCTAAGAATCTCAACCCTTTGCTGCTGAGTGCTTTCAAGCCTGAAGGCTGAATTATGGTTCTTGACAATCATTCTCTGGCTCTCAGTAACCCTCTGAACTTACGCATTTGGATGGCTGATGCCCTGTGAATGGGAGTGGGTGGACTTATTCCTGGATATGAGATTTGCTTGATTTTTAGGAATTTTTTTACACTTTTTTCTCCCTCTAGAAACATGTTTACTCCTCTATAACTACACAGGAAGTGAGGGAGGAAGAAGAACCAAGTGGGAAATCAGAGGCCACCTACATGATCATGGTGAGGATGGTTCTGGGCCACAGAAGGGGCTGGGAAGGGTACGGCAACCGTGGGTGGCAGATGTGTGACTAGATCACCCAGGGAGGCTGTTTGCTGAGGTCAGAGATTTTTCTAAGTAGTAGGAAGTCAGAGAAAATAAACTCTGCTGGATAAAAGTGACTTGTCAAACTTGTCTTCGAACCCAATTTTGAGGATTAAAGTCATCACTAGAGGTGACAAGTGACTTCACTGGGAGCAGGGAGAGGTCTTCGCCTCATTAGCACAGCCCTGATTAAACAAGACCTACTAAAGAGAGTGTGTTAGGATCCTTGGACAAGTATTACACTAAAAGGGATTATTTTTTTCTATCAAAAGGCCAAAGTAGAGTCCTTTGACCCTTGGAGTTTTCAATTCTGTGCCTTCTTAATGCTTTTGCCTATTCCGCTGGCMTGCAGTCTGCATGCTGAATTTCAGAGAATAGCATAGAGTCTGATTCCTACTTTTTCTTGGCTCAGACTTCTGTGGCTCTGCAGTGAATAGGGGTAGGGACAAAAGGAGTCAGCTGGCAATAACTTGATGCTATTTGTAGACTAATTATAGGCACCTGGCCCAAGAAGGAGCAGTGTTCTGCTGGGGTCAGAAAGGCTGGCTTCCTGTGCTATGGAATGACGGGTTGTGTTTGTTCTTGTCATTCCGTCCAGAGGACACATGACTCCCAGCTGACTGCAGCAGAGAAAATGTGAGATCAGGGGAGTGTGAGGTCAGGGACCTGGCCTGGTTCCACCAAGTGAAACATGAGTCCTGCTCTGAAGTTGCTGTTGAATAGACTCATTTTTTTTCCTRTCTCCTTCCCCCGTTATTGCCATGTGATGCTCCAGTAACTGGTSGGGCCTCCCTGGCCTTCACAGACCTGCTGATGTGGCTATGGCTGGGTGTGTCACCCACTAGGGTGTTTGCAGAAGGTCTTAAGGTGGAGATGATGTAAGTGTGACAATGCTCTCATGGCTGCCTTCCCCATGTATCACAACTGCTGTGGGGACAGCACGTCTCCTTGAAACACATCTAATAGAGGGTGGGTGAGGAGAGGCCAGGGCCACAAACTCAGAGGCCTTCAAGTTAATTGAGAACATTCTATGCCAAACTAAATAAGCCTGTGGATGAATTCTGGATTGCAGGACACTTGGATGAGACTTCAAGTGCAGAGGTGTTCTCTATAGAGAGCAAGAGTACAGAAACTCGGATTTTTTTTTCTACCAGGGATTGAACCCAGGGGGCGCTCTACCACTGAGCTAAATCCCCAGCCCTTATTTATTTATTTATTTTTTAAATTTTGAGCTAGGGTCTCCATAAGTTACTGAGCCTGGCCTTGAATGTGCTTCCTCCTGCCTCAGTTTCCTGAGTTTTTGAGATTACTGACATGCACAATTATGTATGACTAAGAACTTTTGATTTTTGTTGTTGTTGGCTTCAATTAAATTTACTTAAATGTATAGTTATTTCTCTGTATCTGTGTTTTCTTCATCCATGGATTCAACCAACAATGGACTGAAAGTATTTGGGGAAAAGTTGCCAACGGTTTTTCTTGTCACAATTCCCTAGACAATACAGCATAACACTAATTTACATAGTATTTCCATTACATTAAGTATTATAAGTAATCTGGAGATGATTTGAAGTGAACAGGAGGATGGATGTAGGTTATATGTAAATACTACAACTCCTTTTATATGAGGGAGTTGAGTGTCCCTGGATTTTGGTATCTGTGGATTCTTGGAACAGATCTCCCATAGATTCCCAGCACCATGCTGATCTCCCTTTCTAAAACAGGACACACACTGGTTCAGATCACAAGCTTTGGAGCTGGGCACACCTGGCTCCAGCTCCTGACTCTTAGCAGCAAGATGTTAACTTAAAGGCAGGTCATTTAGCCTCTCTGAACCTCAATTTCCTTATCCTTAAAATGGAAATAATAATTCCTACCTTTCCAGGGGTGAGGACCAAATAGGACAATGCATGTGAAATTCAGTACAGGCCCAGGCACATGAAAACAGCTTTTCTTCCTTCCTTCCTTCCTTCCTTCCTTCCTTCCTTCCTTCCTTCCTTCCTTCCTTCCTTCCTTCCTTCCTTTTTTCCCCCCTGTCCTGGGGACTGAACCCAGGGTCTCACACATACTAGACAAGTGCTCTAACACTATCACTGAGCTGTTTTTCTAGCCCTGAACTACTTACAATGCTTTGCTTTTTTCTTCCCCCACAGCACCCAGTTTGGCCCTCTCTGAGGTCAGTTCCAGCTGGGGGAATTCCAAAACCAGAGCATGCTTTTTGAGAAGAAAGGAGAGTTTCCTTCAATTTAGCAGTGGCAGGGACTCTGTCCTCCCTCTGTGTTGCTGAGATACTGTACCAGTTGTTTCAGACCCCTGCCCTCCAGGTATCCTTGGCTTTCATCAAAGGGCTGAAGATGGAGGGTTTGGAGCCTGGCAGAAGGACTGAACAGCTCTGGAGAGGCAGGCTCTGCTGAGGGGAGGGAGAGAATGAACTTGGCTGGCTAGAAGGGCCCAGAGGAAGTTGGCTGAGGCACTGTGGTGGCCTCAAGCACTCCATCGGATCAGACCCTTCATATGGACAATGTGCTTTGTGATTGAGCTACTGAGAAGAATCACAATGATAAAAACCAATGCAAATAATTCCATCAATAAATGATGCCTAAATAAACATGGTTTGTGAAAATCATTCATTCTTATGCCCTGCCTGAGGGGTAAGTGGAGTTTGGGTAAGGAATCCGTAGTTTGGAACTCCTGGAACAACTGTAGCACCTGGAGGGAAGCCTCATGGTGACTCTGCGTGCTGGACAGGTGTTGGTCCTGGGAACATACAGCAGGAACAGGTTGGAAGTGAGGTCTGAGCACAGATCAGGGATTTGAACCAGTGGTTCTTCCTTCCACCTGGGTATTAGCATTGGTCCTTGCAGGGCCTCACCATAGGCCCTCATGGAGTGTCTTTTTTTTTTTTTTGGTACAGGGGAGTGAACCCAGGGGTGTTCAATCACTGAGCTACATCCCCAGCCACTCCCCTTTTTATACATTTATTTATTTATTTTTATGTGGTGCTGAGGATTGAACCCAATGCCTCACATGTGCTAGGCAACCACTCTACCACTGAACTACAACCTCAGCCCCTCAGCCCCTCAGCCCTTTTTTTGTATTTTATTTAGAGACAGGGTCTCACTGAGTTGCTTAGGGCCTCACTAAGTTTCTGAGGCTGCCTTTGAACTCGTGATCCTCCTGCCTCAGCCTCCTGAGCCACTGGGATTGCAGGCATGCACCACTGCGCTCAGCTTGTGTGTCTTTTTCGAAGGTGATGCTACGGTAATGCCAAAATGGACAACCCCTGATTTAATTCTTGGTCTGAACTGTGAGGTTTGAACACTTTTTGGTTACTATTGTAAGATTCGATAAGTTGGTCTTAAAAATCATTTGGTTCTGACCTCTGACTTCTGGTCTCTAGGGATCAGCCTGGACTCAGCCCCTGTCTCCTTTCCTCAGCTACCACAGGACTTTCCTCATTCTCTGCACCCCCTTTTCCCCACATTGAGCCATTCAGGGCCCAAATAAAGAAGAGATCTTTTCCGCATGTCTGATTTCTGATCCAGTCTCAAGCAGGGCTACAATTTTGAATGATTCCTCAAGCCCTCCAAGTATTGGGGCCCTCTCATGGCATTATGAGCTCTTTCTTTTATACCAGTTTTTCTTGTTTAACCATGAAGAAGAGTCATTGAGAGTTTTCTTTTTGTTCTTGTTTAGCGACAGAGCTCTGTTTGCTCTAAATAAGGAGTATGTCAACATGCGTATAGAAGGTGCTATCCTGTCCAAGACATACCAGGGACACATATTGGCACCATAATTTGACTCTGGAAGGACTCTTCATAACCAGAGTGTTTATGGGGAAGAAGTGGTTTCATTTCTGGCCACCCTCCACATTTTTTTCTTTGGGTTAAGGAGCCCCTTTTATAGGGGGGGGGGCAGTAACTGGGGATTGAACTTGACCACTGAACCACATCTGCAGTCCTTTTTTGGTATCTTATCTAGAGACAGGGTCTCACTGAGTTGCTTAGTGCTTTGCTTTTTGCTGAGGCTGGCTTTGAACTCGTGATTTTCCTGCCTCAGCCTCCTGAGCCATTAAGGGGCCCTTTTCTACTTCCCTAAATGTATGCATTGGACAGTAGCCTTCAAGATACAGAATCACTGGAATAAGAGCTGGAAGGTGGGCTGGACAGCTTATCCACGGCATCCTCTCAGGGTACTTTGATTGTGGAAGTGTGAACACACCCAAATTTGAATTTGATTCCATTCTGGGTTCAGCAGTTTAATCTGGGGAGGAGGAAGAGGAAACCTACCTGTCTCTCACAAACCTTCTTCTCATACCTAGGCATGAATTTGCTGCTGAGGGTGGAATCCATGGTTGTCAAATACCAACTTTGCTGAAAACTAAAACATTCCCRTAGGAGACCATGGAAAAGATTTACTTGTTCTCTTATGTCATTTTCTTACAAGGGACTGTCTATTAAATCCAGGAACATAAMGGTGGACGGTGTAGGGAGTAGGCTTCAAAGTCAAATGGTTTGGTTCAAATCTACGTTCTGGCTCTTACTCGTCAATACTGCAAAGTTTTCTTAGATTCTCTGAGGCTGTTTTCCCTATGCAGATGCTTCTTGTCTGAGATGTGGTTACATCCATTATAAATTGAAATTATCATCAGTTGAAAATGCATTCAATATGCATAACCCACAGAATATCATAACGTAGCAACACTGGAAGATGAGTTGTTCCCCTTTGGGATCATGTGGCTGACTAGAAGCTGCAGCTTGCTGCCATTGCTCAGCACTGAGAGAGAGGATCTTACCACAGATCGCTAGCCTGAGAACAGATTGCAATTCAAAACTCAGAGTATGGTTTCTACCGAATGCATATTGCTTTTGCACCATTGAAAAGCTGAAAATCATAAACTGAACTATTGTAAATTGGGGACTGTACATGTATATTTGGGACTGTAGGATTTTTTTCTCTCTTTTGCAATTACTAAATGAGATAGCTTAGACAACAATGCTGGTCTGAGCCCTCAGTTGGATTTATCTTTTCCAGCTCTTGCTATTCAGAAACAGGTTCTTTCTTTTTTAATGCCATGCTAGCCAGTCTGTGCCATTAATAACAAAATTGAGCAGAATGGATGTCAATATCTTCTGGTGACTCAGTGCCCCTCTCCTGTTGATTTTTATTTCTATGGGCAGGAAACAAACTCAGACACCCAAGTCCCTCTAACTCAGAGAGAGAGTTACGAAGCTGAGCTTAGGCAAAGGGTTCAAGGGGTGACATTCTGAAAGGCAGGAAAACTGCTGGAAAKGGATCAAGCTGGGTCCCCTGGTGTAGGAGATCCTTCAGCAAGCGCTTTTGTTACTTGAATTTGCAGTATGTTAGGTCCCTAGAACACCAGATGCTCCCAAATTTGAAGGTTTCCAGAAGCACACAGGTCCTTGCCAAGAGAAAGCCCGGAGGGGGTGGGCCGCCCATGAATAATGCAGGATCTAGCAGCTCCAGAATTTGGCTGTTGTGAAGGCTGGTGCAAGCCTGTGATCCCAGCTACTTGGGAGCCTGAGGCAGGCAGATCCAGTGAGTTCTAGGCCAGAGAGGAAACAGAGTGAGACCCTGCCCCCTTAAAAAACAAAAACAAAAACAACACCAAAAAAATGAGCAACAAAACAAAAGCCCTCAAACAAACAGAATGTTGCTACTGGAATTGGAAATAGCCAGCCTGTCCACTGGACTAGCAGATAGACTGTCCTTCTTCTTCTTTTTTTTTTTTTTTAAACACTTATTCTTAAGTTTTAGGTGRACACAATATCTTTATTTTACATTTATGTGGTGCTCGCTAGGCGAGCAATCTACCACTGAGCCACAACCCCAGCCCCTAGATGGTCCTTCCTTAGGACCCTGCCAACCCTTTGTCTCTCCCTGTTCTTTGTAACTCCACTCCTTTTCCCATTTTGGCTCCGCAGTGTGCTCACATTTTCTACATTGGAAATTTCCTTTTGTGAAATACCAGCTCTGTGTGTGTGTGTGGTTAGAGGGGCCCATGCTGACACGGAATTAGTGGTTTCTGAGAGCTGAGGAGCCCTGGGCTGTAAGTTGCATTCCAACACAGACCAGTAAGCCTCTTCCTAAGTTGAAAGAAAGTTTCTCAGGACCACTGACCTTCTGACCAGCTGGTTTGCAGATGTGGTCTAGGCTTCTTTAAGGGAGRTCAGGCAATTCATGACCACTTCTGTAAAACCAGACTCTCAAAACATCTTTTTTTGTTTTTTTAATCAAAAATTAAAGGAACTCAGAGTTTCTCCCAAAGCTAAGACCTTTCTTCCGTTTTGTCAGCACTGGTAATTTTCCTGTGCTGGAACTATGTTTCTGGCCTTCTGGGTTTGGGTGCTCTCTTGTCTACCCATCCATATATCCTCCCACTTTTATTTATTTTTTTAAATAAAATCTTCTGCTTTATATATCTTGTCTATCCTGCATTTAAGCCTTTGCTCTTGGTGCATTCTTGCCTGAGCTGCCCTTTCCCTTCTTGCCTGCCCAAGTCTCCGTTCAAGTCCTGCCTGGGTGATCCCTTGAGTTTTTTGCACCTCCCTTGATATTTCTACACTTGATCAGATTTTTATCTTCTGTTGCCCTCTAATTGTTTCATAGATGTGGCACTTTATCTTCTCTTGAGACCTTAAGCGCTTAGAAACCCTGCTTTAGGTGTTTTCTGTGACTCTTGCAGCCTCCGCCTCTACAAGGTACAATCCTTYTTGAATGGAAGTCCTAGGGAGTGGAGTGGAGCAGCCTGCAAAGGAAGTCTCTGGACCAGTTCCCCCACACCCTRGCTGGGTAGGGTCAGGCTGATGGAATTTCTGCCCTTTCCCGGGTCATGACATAGTCATTGCTCATTCTCTTTCTGCTCAGGGACCCTCAGAGGCCCAGCCCATACTCAGAATGAAGTTGGAAAGTGAGTTGGGAAATAAATAGTGACAATACTCTTTGATCCTGTTAGCATGGCAGCTCCTACGACACCAGGAGAACTTAGTTCTCTCCCTGCAGACAGGATTGCACTCATCATGATGTACTGTGCCTGAATTTGTACACTTATTTCCTTGTCTAGAAAGTGAGCACTCATGGGAAGCTGTTTCTCAGTCATTTCCAGGTTAACATTTTCTAGCCCAGTATTAAGTACTTCGGGCCATTAAATAGGCATAGTAATCCCTTTTATCCCTGGTTTTGCTTTCTGCAGTTTCAATTAGCCACAGTTAACTGTGGTCTGAAAATATGAAATGGAAAATTCCAGAATAAACAATTCATAAGTTTTAAATTGAGTAGTGTGATGAAATTTTTTACTTTCCTGTTTCTTCCTAGGAAGCATACATGTGATTCCCTGTCTATCAAATCCATGATGTGTATGTGACCTGTCCATCAGTTAATTAGTAGTTTTCTTGGGTAGCAGATCCACTGCCATGGAATTCAYAGTGATTGTACATAGGGTTTGGTGTTATTCGTGGTTTCAGGCATCAGCAAGGGTCTTAGGACGCATCTTCCACAGATAATGTGAGACTACAATATTTGAACTTGCTGAATGAGTGACTTGATTTATAAATGAGTAAATGTACCCAGCGCTACACACAGGTGCACAGAAGAAAGAAGTAATGTGAAGATCAGGAATAGGTGAACTTGAAGCAGATTTTTTTTTTTTTTTCAGCACCAGGGATTGAACCCAGGGGCACTCTACCACTCAGCTACATCTCTAGTCCTTTTTATTTTATTTTAATTCTGAGAGAGGGTCTTGCTAAGCTGTTGTGGCTGGCCTCAAGTTTGTGATCTTCCTGCTCAGGCTCCTGAGTCACTGGGATTACGGCTGTGTATCGCCATGCCCTGCTGGAACAGGTGTTTGAAGACAGACCATGAGCCTTCTGAGCAGGCAAGAGAGGAAGGGCATTCCTAGACAAGGAAAGTGCAAAGGCAAAGACAAGATGCTAGGTGCTGTGTATGCTGTGTATAGAAAGGCCTGAGATGCACCAGGGGTGGCAAAGAGAGGCGAGTGAAATGAATCCCTACCTTGAACCCATGAGCAGACTGCTGTGTGCTCTGTAGATCAAGGATGTTGGCATTTAATCCCAGGCCTGTTCCTGTGTACTGTTCTCCTTTTCCCAAGCCCCCAAACCGAGTTTCACATTGAGCTATTTAATACTGGTTGAAARTAGTGCTTCTCAAAATTTAACATGCTTAAGAATCACCTAGATCAACAAATGGGACTTACTCAAACTAAAAAGTTTTTTCTCAGCAA